GAGGAGGAACTGTAATAGAGCATCGATTGAAAATTAGTAATAGAATACATGTGTTCTTAAAATCAAAGATGAATTTAAATTCAATTGCTGATACATTTGAATGTAAATGAAATTTCCTGAACATAATAATATACAAATGTACTTAAAAATTGATAATTTAAATTCTCTTCTTTTTCTTTCTTTTTTTTTTTCTTCTTAAATGAAGAAATTATAAATTTATAGAACCAAGCACTTGACACTCAGAGAGATTTGTCTACTGCATATATTTCCTCAGAAAAAGCTTGCCTGTTCAGTTTTATTGAATGTTTACTTACTGTTTTTAGGATGATTCTCCAGCTAAGAGGATTAGGGCTTGTTTTCTGTCTGATCAGGTAATACATATAGAAAGGGGAGACAACCCAAATCCAGCCATGGATCATCCACACCGGAACAGAGGACAGGAAGCAAGGAGAAAATAATGGCTGCTCCCCATTTCTGGTCAGATTCCAGTCCTGCCAAAAAGTCACAAAAACACGTTATTTCGGTTCCTGTTATTATGTCCCTTTGTTTGATGTTTTCTACAAGCTATCATGCATGACATGCTCAGATGTAGATAAGTATATAAAAACACATATTTAAAGATAACAAATCAGTTTTCTGAAGAAATAGTATATTCTGATTTGGTTTTCTTTAAAAACTGCCATGCATTTTGCTTTCTATAAAAAAAAGTTGCTTTTAATTATAGGGAAATAATGCTGTACATTTTTTATTTACCTGACAGCTATAATTTAGTAGACAAAGTAACTTGTACAGTTAATCAGATTAAACCATATATAGTCATTATATACAGCCTTTTTCAAACACTGTACGTAACAGGTTTTCCTAAAAAAAATAATGAAAATTGGGTAAAAAACAAAGTTTCGGAATGTTAATTCAATTTAAAAATTTAATGGTATCTAAATGGTTCGACTTTTGCAAATACTTCATATGTGAAGCTGACCAACATATTGTATTTTATGCCCTACAAAAAACGACACAGCCTTCACCGAATGGTACTTTTATCATGATGTCGGATATTGTTCGACACTATAGAATTTCACAAATGAGCTAAACATTGTTTCACAGTTCATAAACTAGGTTTATCGACTGTTTAAATTATAGTTTACACACCCTGAACTATAATTAACAATTCGTTACATGTACCTATAGTTTTTATATCTGTAAAACTATATTTTAACGGTTGTTAACTATAGTTTACGAATGCTAATCTAATTAAGCTTATCTGTCTGTAATAAAGCGTTAACAAAAGATTTTGTTGATAAACATAGATTCACGTTTGTAAACTATAATTTACAATCGTAAACTATAGTTAAGAGGTGTTAATCATAGTTTCACAAATCGTGAAACTATGTTTATCAGATCGTTAACTATGGTTAAGACTTGTAAACCATAGTTTACAAATTGTGAAACTGTTTTTATCAGAAAATCTATGTTTTGCAATCACAAATGATTGTTTTCGGTGTTAAGTATAGTTTACGGTTGTGAAAAATAGATTATCGCGTTGACTATGGTTTACAGAATGATGTAAAATATAGATTGACGTTGTTAACTTTAGTTTACAGTCCGTAAACTATAGTTTACAACCGATAAACCTAGTTTATCGACTGTGAAACTATGTTTAGCTCATTTTTTGTGAATTTGGCGTGCAATATTCATTCCTTCCGTCCCCTTTCCTTGCGCCCCTATTCTCTTCCTTTCTCATTTTCACCCTTTTCCTTCTTGTTACTTGTATTGTTATCGAATTAGCAAATTACAATATATCATTTTTTTATGAATTTGAGGTTGATCGATTGTAAAAAAAAAAAAAAAAGGAAAGGTGATTTAATTGAATTCAGTTCTAGTCCAGTATAATTAATAACGCAATACTCGATTATATATAGATGATACGAACTTTTGTTTTTCATTTATTCGTTATGAATATAGTGAGCCGATTTTTTCAATAAGCATGAAGTATGTTCTAAGTATTTCCGTTCTAAATTTTGACTCAATTGACCTGTTTATTTTGCTTCAGGCAAATAATTATCGCTTAACTGATAACATTTCAGAGACATGTTGATATTTCATAGGTAACATATGAATAATAACTTCACATCGTGAACTATAATAAAGGTGAGAATCACAAACACGTACCCAGAATAGAGTATTGTTTCTGCAGAATTCAGGCATGTCACCACGTGCACTCAATTTGAATTTTACATTCAATCTGTTATTTCTCAAGTTTTATATATGTCTGTAGTATTTCTTTCTTGTGGTGCAAGAATTTTTGAAAGTACGGTAGCCCATTAGTGTTGATATTGTATATTGTAAAAATATACATCAGCATTGCCCGAACTGTGACATGGACCTTTTCTGACACAAAAAAAATCCTGGATATATTTTATTGAAATATTAAGTTTTTAACAAACTTTAATAAAAAATTATTTTAGACAGTTGTCAGTGTTCGTAAGGTTACAACGGCAACTTCTGATGAAGGATTTGAAAGAGAATGGTTACATAGAAATTTATTGTATGTTAGGGTTAGGGTAAAGATATTTGGATTAAACTTAAGGGTTAGGGTAAGGGTTAAGGCGAAACTTAAATGCCAATAGTATATTTTGGAGGAGCGTCTTTATTTAATAAAATACTAAGTATTTTGTTTAAGTATATTTCTATTCCTAGAATGGAAAAAGCTAGGCGAGGTTTTGCTGTGGGTATTTCATCATCCTTAGTCTTTTCCATTGCATCAGAAAATTCTCTTTTGAAGTGGGATTAAAGGTAAAGACTATATGATGAAATTTAAAATTAATGTAAAACCAAAGAGGGCATGCTATTGGATTTTAACAAGCTTTAAACAAATTTCATAAAACTTCTAAATTTTGTCATAGGCTTAAAGAAAAATTAAAAACTAATATAGACATTTTAAAAAGATATATATTCTTTTTGGAAGTCAAAATATGATTTCCTAAAAGAAGATACATGTAATTTGTATACATGTATCAGATGCATATTAAAATCTCGCATTGAGCGACAACATGTTCTCTATTAAGTAAGGAGGCCAAACTTTTAAACCATAATTATATGACACTTACAGCTTTCAGTATTTTTACAATATTGTTTACAGGTTGAAGTGCATTTTTAAGAGGAAAACTTAATCCGCTTGAAAGGTGTTGCTGAGTTTATCCATCCATTCTATTGTTAAAGAATATTTTAAGATAAATCCATACAAAGATTCAGGTATCTGTTATTTAATCCTAAATCAAAATGCTTTAGTTTGCCATGTTTTGTCGATGAACAGATAAATGTTAGAAATCGTCCTATGGAGAACTAATCGTGTCACTTTTTTTTTTATCTGTACAGAGAGTTTTTAGCCATGATTTTACTTACCTTGCTGATTGGAGCTGTAGTCTTTTCCATTATACTTATCATTCAGCATGTACATAGATACAAACAATGGAGCAAGGTTACTGCAAAGATCACCTCTTTTGAACCGTGGCATCCAATATGGGGAAATTTGCATCTGGTATGTACTTAAATGGCTAACTTCCCAGTTAATTATGTTCTGAACACTTAAATAGTTTTCTAAACTTCCCATCCTATTAAAATCACATTAGAGTGATTGTCACACATCAACAGAGATAGAAAAAATTATATTAAAAATAATAATCACACTTCACAAATTCACATATACATTAGGATGTGATGAATTAAATAACTAAAGTTAAAACACTGGGGAAAAGAAACAAAACAGGAATATAACATGACAATATGATGTAGCCTGTAGCCACATGGTTCACATAATAAATATTAATGCAATTTAAAAAACTGCAAATATAAAACACATTATGGTATTTTATCTTCCTCTGCAAAAATGAATTTCCTCATGGTCTTTGTACTCGACAGATTACTTCGGGGGGTTGCTAGGGATTTGCCAAATCGTTTCCATGGCTGCTTTTGGCCGTTTTATTTTACTTAGCAAAGCAGACAGAGTGTACACCTTCTACTTACTTTTTAAGCAGATATTTTCATATCAGGTGTTTTATCATATCAGATTTAGCCAGTTATGTCTGCTTGGCATATTTTAGAATTTATTGACCTTTCAACCTCTTTAATTTAATTTTTTGTCATCATTATTTAAAGGTAAATGACATGGCCGACTTCTTTAAACTGGTTTTGGTCATGGTGGAGAAGACTAAAGCAAAGCTCCTTTGCGGTTGGGTCATGTTTTTATATCCTGTGTTTTCCACTTGCCATCCCGACACGGCCAAAATCCTGCTTAAGTCCTCTGAACCAAAAGTGAAATATAACCTTGGAGGAGTTTACAGGATGATTTTGCCTTGGTTAGGTAGGAGTAGAGAAATCACAACATCTGATATTTTTCTGCAGTTCACATCCACTTTTTCACCTAATCACCGTTAAAAAAGCTTTCCTTTTGATGGCAAGGTGACGGCCTATTGCTGTCGGACGGGAAGAAATGGGAGAGGAATCGTCGTCTGCTAACTCCCGCCTTCCATTTTGACATTCTCAGACCTTACGTTCAGATCTACAATGACGTCGCTAATATATTCCTCGTAAGTCCAAAAGTTTTCAAAATTTAAAAAAATCTTTCTTTCCATAGTTCCTAAATCCATGTTCAATGCAATACATGTAGTTATTTCTTAAATTTTACTTCAATTAGGAAAAAGTACAAAAAGCTTGTGATTCAAAGGAAGCGATAGAAATCTACAGCCACGTGTCACTGGCTACATTGGATACCATGTTAAGATGTTCGTTGTCGTACACCGGGCAGGTACAGGAAAAGGGGTAAGATTTTGTTTTGTTGTCAAAATTAACAACATATTGTAATTAGATTGTCGATTTATGTTGATAAAAGTTTGAAATTTCCCCACTCCGAGCTTTTTTCCCCTTTTTTTCCAAGTTGTCTTGAAACCCTTGTACGATGAATGTGGTTTGGTTTTTCAAAGTAAATGTGAATTGAATGATTTATGTTATACTGTGTAAGATGAAAACCTCCCCAGTATTTAGCATTAAGACTTTCTTGTTCATAAAGTAATATTACCATTATCAATCTATACAGAGATAGTCACCCATATGTTCAGGCTGTCCGACGACTGGGGTTTCTATCTGTTCAAAGGACCTTGTAAGTATTTATTTGCATTATATTTCAAATTATGAAATAGTATCAAAGACATATACATATGCATATGCATATGATTTTTATTATTATATAATTAAGATCTCCTTGGCTTTATCCGGATGTTTTGTTTTGGCTCTCACCGAGTGGCAGGGAATATAAGCGTCTCATCGACTATGTTCACGAGTTTGCTGATGAAATCATCGCTTCTCGTAGGAAAGCTTTGGTATTAAAAAGTATATTTCTATCTTGCAATTATCTTTTGAGCATGTTTTGGTTATTTTCTGTAATATGAGTACATTATTTAGACAGAAAAAGATATCAATAAGACAGCGGGGAAAAGGCTAGATTTTTTAGACATTCTAATCACGGCTAAAGATGAGAATGGTGAAGGTCTAAATGACCAGGACATCAGGGCAGAGGTGGATACTTTCCTTTTTGAAGGTAAATATTGTTATCGATGACAAATCAAGGCATGAAAGGCTTAGTATCTGATATCAAATCATTTTCATTTTACAGGACACGACACAACAGCATCTGCCATAAGTTGGGCCATTTACTGTTTAGCCAAGTATCCAGAGGAACAGGAAAAGGTTTATCAGGAAGTGACGTCAGTTTTAGACGGCAGACCACAAGTCTCATGGTGAGGAGATAAAGAGTTGAGAAGATCCCGACTGACATCAGCTTCCTTTTTTTTTAATTCCTTATGTCCCTTTTGTTTATGTGTTTAGTGTCCCCTTGAGAATTTTTCACACATATTGAGATGCCACCACTTGCAGGTGAAAGGCTGCAAAGTAAGAATTATGATCGGCACCAACGACATTTGAGCAAGGAGGATCTTCTTTGTGCTATTACCTCCACTTCTCGTGCTGGATTTGAATCCGAGCGAGAGTAAAGGATCAGATGCTTACTACATTTCTTTAGAGCAAACATTCTTACCATTGTGCCACAAAAAGGATTTTAAAGGAATTTTACAAATCATTATTTATTTCATCCTCTAAGTTTTAGGCAAAAGGTGAGAATAGTACCGGTATATAATGTACTCAGTGACAGATGCTTTGTCATTAGCCTTATTGGTATTATCTCGATCCTCAATATATTCGATGCAAAAGTACAAGCGTTATTTTAAATTTTGATATTAATCAAAATTGTTCTTACTTTTTCAGGGAAGATCTTAATCAGTTGAAGTACACCTCGATGTTTCTGAAGGAGGTACTGAGGATGCACAGTCCTGTACCTTTTATAAGTCGTTGGCTGACGAAGCCCTTGGTTTTAGATGGGGTAGAGATTCCTGCCCATTTTCAAGTAGACATTTTAATTCATGCTATAAATCATCATCCTGACGTTTGGCCTGATCACATGGTACGTAAACATTTTCATGGAGACAAGTATGAATCTGATGGAAGACAATTGATAAGTTATAGAAAATATTACCCAACTGGTATCTAAAATGATCGCTCTTCGTATAAGACAATATGAATTAATGCTTCTCTTACCCTACATATACTACGGTTATTGTAGGAATTTCGACCGTCGAGGTTTGAGAATGAGACGAGACAAGAAAGAGATCCTTACACTTATATTCCCTTTTCAGCAGGATCCAGGTAAAGAAGTTGACATTTTGGTTTTTAAGCCACAACACGCAACACCACAAAACGAAATCAGAGTATAATGTTGAATACTGATCAAATTTTATATAAGATCAGAGATCTTTGAAAACAGAGAATTTTGTCTTTGAACAAGATTGTTTTATTTTTATTTATTTTTTTATTCTGTGCATTTATGTAATGAAACACGTCTAAATTATATTACAAAACCGGATACATTATAGTACGCAGGAAAGCTTTATGGCCAGACTCGTTGTAAACTCACTTTTTTTTCCTTTAGAAATTGCATTGGGCAGAATTTTGCAGTGAATGAAGAAAAAGTGATGATTTCTGCTTTAGTAAAAAGGTACAGCAAAAATATCAAATATAAATCGTAGGGCCTGTTTAAACATGTATATTAATATTTCAGTGAAAAAATATTCTGAGAAACAATATTTTCCAGATTTAAAGTGGAATTAGTGGAAGGTCACGTGTATGAAGAATATCCAGAAGTAGTAATGAGAGCAAAATACGGAATTAAAATCAAAGTTAACCAAAGATAAAGGAGTGATAAATGTTTTATTTTTGATGAATGGTTTGTGTTGATAAATGTAGATGAGGAATACTTTTGAAGTTCAAATAGATAATATATTGCAAAAGGTTAACTATTTTAAAGAAAATCTGTTTATGCACTCATGGTTGTAGCAGTACGAAATGTTTTCTTCTAACTAAGCTTGTATCTCATACTTTCTGTAGGGGTTACTGTCATTCTATTTTGGCTAATTGTGTATCAACTTTTATATCTCGTTTGCTTCTTTTCATGGACGTCTGGTTTACATTCACAAATTCATTTTTAATATTCACTTATTTAAGAGAAAGAACTTCAAGTTTATTTAAATATGTATTATATTTCAATACTCAGACTAGAAATGTGTTTTAAATTAAAAATAAAATGAAGATTAACATGAAGCTTTTTACCCTTGCAAAATTCCTGAAGCACGCAATAACTTCATGATATGCAAATATGGATGGTCATCTTATTATGAAAATGTTAGAAGAAATAAAACGCATTAAAGTCTTACCAACTGGACATTTTAATTTGAAGTTTTATTTTATCTCTTAATTGTTTTGTTTTTTCATATGACTTTTGCATTTTCCTAAAAAAAAAATGAAAGGAAAAAGGTCATTACTGAATAAGAGTAGTAGTAGTACTGAATAAGGTAGTACACAGCAGACACAAAATATTCCTAACATTAATTTTTGTGAAGCTTCTACAATTTTGTCCATGAAAAGCAAACTTTTACTTTGTATATGGTGTAAAAGAAATTCTACTTTGCCAGATAGTATTTGTTTTCTATCAAAATGCACTATAAAAAGAAAATTTATTTTTAACAAAAAAAAGGTGAAGATAAGGAAAAGGGATCGATTTTTTTAAAAATTGCAAACGATGTAATCTGTGTACAGGGCAGAGAGCTCGGACCTCGGAAATTCCGAAGTGGATTCAGATATCTATGAGGAGTAAGAATCTCCTATTGACCAAACATACCTGTCATGACCAGGTATGATAAATATTCTGAAGGCAAATTAAAAAGTTTAAAAAAAAACTGATTTCTAGTTATTGGTATGAAAAACGAAAATATTATCTAATACGAATGATTTTAAAGCCGAGATAGGCTGCTGAAAGAGAAGTTAATGTTACTGATATTTCAAAATAATCGTCTGATTGAAGTAAGAATTTGGTAATTTCTTTGGTCGTTAATGTGACCTTCTTATGGCCGACGTATTCCATTAGGCTTTGTTTCTGTACTAAATTCGACAACGAAATGTTCTATTTATTTCATCATTGCAAAAGGAAGGTGGCGCGTGTGATATGCCAAAGTTTTTTAACCTCCAGGAAGCAATTTGTGTTTATATGTACTCTGGATAATATATGAAATTTGAGAAACTGGTATTGAAATAGAAATTTTCTGCCAAAAAAATAATTTTCTAACCTGCATGTACCTACCGACCCAATATTTTCAGGCCGAGTTAGGAGAAGGCAATAAAACCTTTTTCTAAAGTTAACCTTATATCGCTATATTCCCCAATAACCTGCAAATATTGTGTACGTCTCAAAACAGTGCAAGTAATCAAGAATATGCTCTGAGTACTATCTCTGAGATAGACTAATGACGAATAATGTGATGTTACAACAAAATCGATAATCTTACAAACATGTACGAGTAGTTGAATACAGCAATAATTGCATATCTTAGTGCAATCAGAATTATGTTAAGGTTTGTAACTGTCTGTATATAGGCCTTTCAACTGCCGCTAGGGTTCGCTGTTTTGAACGATAACTCATTGCTGAAACTTGTTTAGAGCAGGTCCGAAGTATCTAACTGTTTATAAGCAAGTCAGTTTTTAGCTCACCTGAGCCAAAGGCTCAAGTGAGCTTTTCTGATCAAAATTTGTCCGTCGTCTGTCGTTGTCGTCGTTGTCGTTGTTGTAGTCGTTGTTGTCGTAAACTTTTCACATTTTCATCTTCTTCTCAAGAACCGCTGGGCCGATTTCAACCAAACTTGGCACAAAGTATTCTTGGGTGAAGGGGATTCAAGTTTGTTCAAATGAAGGGCCACGCCCTTTTCCAGGGGGAGATAATCATAAATTTGTTAAAAATTAATGGCATTTTTAAAAAATCTTCTTCTCCAGAACCGATGGGCCAGGAAAGATGAAACTCATGTGGAAGCATCCTCAGGTAGTGTAGATTCAAGTTTGTTCAAATCATGACCCCCGGGGCAAGGGTGGGGCCAAAATGGCCGACCCAAGTTTTACATAGGAATATATAGGAAAAATCTTTAAAAATCTTCTTCTCAAGAACCACTGGGCCAGGAAAGATGAAACTAATGTGGAATCATCCTCAGGTAGTGTAGATTCAAGTTTGTTCAAATCATGACCCCCGGGGCAAGGTTTGGGCCAAAATGGCCGACCCTAGTTTTACATAGGAATATATAGGAAAAATCTTTAAAAATGTTCTTCTCCAGAATCACTGGGCCAGGAAAGATGAAACTCATGTGGAAGCATCCTCAGGTAGTGTAGATTCAAGTTTGTTCAAATCATGACCCCCGGGGCAAGGGTGGGGCCAAAATGGCCAACCCAAGTTTTACATAGGAATATATAGGAAAAATCTTTAAAAAATCTTCTTCTCCAGAACCATTGGGCCAGGAAAGATGAAACTCATGTGGAATCATCCTCAGGTAGTGTAGATTCAAGTTTGTTCAAATCATGACCCCCAGGGGCAAGGGTGGGGCCAAAATGGCCGAATCAAGTTTTACATAGGAATATATAAGAAAAATCTTTAAAAAATGTTCTTCTCCAGAATCACTGGGCCAGGAAAGATGAAACTCATGTGGAATCATCCTCAGGTAGTGTAGATTCAAGTTTGTTCAAATCATGACCCCCGGGGCAAGGGTGGGGCCAAAATGGCCGACCCTAGTTTTACATAGGAATCTATAGGAAATTTTTTTTAAAAATCTTCTTCTCAAGAACCACTAGGACAGGAAAGATGAAACTCATGTGGAATCATCCTCAGGTAGTGTAGATTCAATTTTGTTCAAATCATGACCCCCGGGGCAAGGGTGGGGCCAAAATGGCCAACCCAAGTTTTACATAGGGATATATAGGAAAAATCTTTAAAAAATCTTCTTCTCCAGAATCACTGGGCCAGGAAAGATGAAACTCATGTGGAATCATCCTCAGGTAGTGTAGATTCAAGTTTGTTCAAATCATGACCCCTGGGGCAAGGGTGGGGCCAGAATGGCCGACCCAAGTTTTACATAGGAATATATAGGAAAAATCTTTTAAAAATCTTCTTCTCCAGAATCACTGGGCCAGGAAAGATGAAACTCATGTGGAAGCATCCTCAGGTAGTGTAGATTCAAGTTTGTTCAAATCATGACCCCCGGGGCAAGGGTGGGGCCAAAATGGCCGACCCTAGTTTTACATAGGAATCTATAGGAAAATTGTTTAAAAATCTTCTTCTCAAGAACCACTAGGACAGGAAAGATGAAACTCATGTGGAATCATCCTCAGGTAGTGTAGATTCAAGTTTGTTCAAATCATGACCCCCGTGGCTAGGGTGGGGCCAAAATGGCCAACCCAAGTTTTACATAGGGATATATAGGGAAACCTTTTAAATCTTCTTTTCAAGTACTTCAAATCTATGATTAGTGATATTTATATGGAATCATCCTCAGGTAGTGTAGATTCTAGTTTGTTCAAATGATGAACGCCTGGAGGGGCTGGAGGGGGGGGGGGGAGTAAATTCAAGCCCGATGTGCTCAGGTGAGCGCTGTGGCCCCTGGGCCTCTTGTTAATTTAGCATTTCCCAGGTGTATCTTTGCTGTCAGTAGAATCCAGCGGTTTTAAAATTTAGCACTAATGTTAAACTTATTTACTATACTTATATTCTATTTGCGGACACCGTTTAATTACATCTAAGTAAAATTTTTAATTAAAATAAAAAGTGAAATCTACCCTCCTTCTTAGTTCTAACCTGATTAAATTTTTATACTCGGTCGTTCTTCTTCGTGCTTAGTAACACAAATAAGATAATTAATTGTTGCATTTACTGACGTTTTTCATACGAATTGTTAGTCTATTATTTATACACTGAATTGACGACGGATTTTTCCGTTATTTCACGATCATGACAATGGGCACACGGCGGATGTGACCGTTCAGCAGGGGATGCTCACTCCTCCGTGGCTCCTCGGAGGTCCATGTTTGCTCTGCTCTTATTTTGTATTGTTTTATGGACTTTGAGATTGAATACTGTTCGTTATCTCCATATCCTTCTTACTTGTAAAAATATAATTTATTATATATCTATACAGGAAGTGCAAAAGTGCACACACAAAAAACATGATATTATATTTTCTTCTTCATAACAATCGTCAAAGAGAGTTAAAAATATTGAATATAGCCTGTTCCCCATTCATTTGACCCTGTTATTAGAGGTACTGTGCAGTCATGCTCCTTTTTTGTACACGTACTTTTGTGAACAAAACAATGTAAGGAACCCTTTTGTGTACATAACGATAGCAATGCTGAAGCAGCCAAAATGTCATTCCTATAAACGATAACTCATAAATCGGCATTTAGTCAAGGTCATTTTTTCACCTGTACATAAAACACATTGAGGTAGTCAACTACAAATAATTAAACTTTTTAATTAAAGGTATGCATAAGTTATTCTTATTTGATAATTTCATGTACTTGTTAATAAATCTATCTATGAAATGTTCTTTAACATATGTGCAACTTGAAAAGTTAGTTGAAAGGCCTATATTGTATATTTTCCCCGCTTCAAATTAATATAAGGTATCCGATCCATATTAGCCTCAGATTCAATAGAATTGAATGTATAATAGATATGTATGAGCTAAATACTCGTGTATTTAGAACTAATTTTCATCCTTTAGTATCAGAATGTAAGAGTGGGACATGTCCTAATTTATGACCTTTTCCTGCCCTTGACGAGTTATTTCCCTTTGATTTTACTCAATAAAATTAATTTTAAAAAATCTGACTGGTAAAAAAATTATTTCTAATTGTTTTTCTATTCCCAATGATCAAATACATCTTTCCACCACAGCATTTTTTGATATTTGAAACATTTATTTTTTTATCTTAAAAAACTTACTTCCTTCCATAGACTTCAATACAATCTTCAATAATTAATTTCTGCTTAGGTAATAACATTTTTGAAAATGTCTCTTGGTAAATCCCTTTCTACTCTAAAATGCTTTAAAATAATATCAGGATATCTGACAAGCAATTGATATTT